CAGAATATGAAATTATATTCCCCTTTTCAATTTCTATTATTGGTATGTGTATTTGCATATGTGTGTGTGTGTGCTTTCTTCTTTCTTTTCTTTTCTTTTTTTTAATCAATCTCATTGGGTGTAGTTTTCAAAGAAAGAACTTGTGGCTGTGTTGATTCTTTCTCCCTCTGTGTCTTTTTCTCTCTCTTTTTTCCCCATTAATTTTGGTTTTCACCTTCATCATTTCCTTCCATTCAATTTCTTTGTGTTGAATTTGCTACTTTTTTTTTTTTTTTTTTTTTTTTTTGCCGTACGCCGGCCTCCCACCCCTGCGGCCTCTCCCATTGTGGAGCACAGGCTCCGGAAGCGCAGGCTCAGAAGCCATGGCCCACAGGCCCAGCAGCTCCACAGCATATGGGATCCTCCCAGACCGGGGCACGAACCCGTGTCCCCTGCATCAGCAGGAGGACTCCCCACCACTGCGCCACCAGGGAAGCCCCAAATTTGCTACTTTTTCTCTAACTTCTTGTGTGGACTCATGAAGTTCGTCCTTTTTTTTCCTCAAGTGTGTACATTTAAGGCTATAATTTTAGTGTATTTTCATTTTCATTCAGTTCAAACTACTTTTTAATTTTCATTGTGAGTTGTTCTTTGGCCAATGAGTTACTTCGAAATGTATTTCTTAATTTAGAAATATCTGTGTGTTTATAGTTATCCTTCTGTTTTAGGTTTTAGTTTAGTTCCATTGTGGTCAGAGAACATACTCAGTGTGACTGCAGTTCTCTGGTTTTTGGTTTTGTTTGTTTGTTTCTTTGGCCACACCATGCAGTGCAGCTTGCAGGATCTTAGTTCCCTGACCAGGGATTGAACCCAGGCCCTCAGCAGTGAAAATCCTGAGCCCTAACCACTGGACCACCAGGGATTTCTCAGTTCTCTGGTTTTTATTTGCTTCGTCTTATACTGAGAGAATTATAATAAAATCTTCCACTGTAATTCTACTCACAACTCTGTAAACATTTTTGTTGATGTGTTGAAGCCAAATTATTAGGCACATATAGTTTAGAATTGTTATATCTTGCAGGCTCAGGCTCATTCAATGTACTTTTTCTTTTCTTTCTTTCCTCTTTTTTGAACTTTTTTTTATTGTTCCACCTTTTCTTATGTTAATTTAGAGTTTACTTTTTAACTAATTTTAGCAGTTACTCTAGAGATTTCAACATACAGTCTTCACTCATCAAAGTCTAATATTAATTGGCCTTTTCATGTTTTTCCTGGGCAATATAAAATATTAGAGTATTTCTTTACTCTGTATACTCCCTCCCCAATTTACATGCTATTATTTTTGTGTATTTTAACTCTGGCCCATATTTTCCCACATTTTAGTATCTCTAAAATTGGCAAATGTCTTACCACTGCTGGTCTTTTATAATCATTGTCATCCTGCACTAAAATTGAGCTCTGTCAAAGCGTAGCATTTGTTTCTGCCAGTCAAAGAGGAACACCACAAACCTGAGGCTACTTAAATTAAACACTCCAGTAGAGGTTTTGTATATGTGTGTGTGTGTGTGTGTGTATACTGTTATAGGTTCAGACAGAAAAATTGTACGAGTAGCAGCTTGTGGCTCAACATCATAGGGGGTATAATTTTTTCCTCCCACCTTCCCCCTGGTGGCAAGATTGAGAAATGCACTTTTCATTGTTACTCTTTTTTGTTTGGCAGTTTTATTTTTCATTTACTCCTGCACCAAAATAGTCCTTTGTTTTCCAGCTTCTGCAGGGTTTTCTGTTAAATTCCCATCTCGAATGCATTTATTTCACAGAATTAAATAAATGGTACACCAATGGTTGATGGCATCTTGGATTCAATAAAAGTATAGCCCTAGAAAACAATATAGATTTATGCAGTCAGTTTATTAGATTTTCCCACATATTTACGGGTTTCATTGCTTCTTAATCCTCTCTGCCTCTCTTACCTTCCATTTTGAATCATTTTCTTAAATATGAAGAATACTCTTTAGTATTTCCTTTAGAGTTGAAATTTTAAGGTCAGATTTTCTGTGCTTGTCTAAAACTGTCTTTATTTCAAATTTTCTAAAAAATATTTTGAGTATAAAATTAGCAATTTATAGTCTTTTTTCTTTCAAGCATTCAGAGATATTACTATAATGTATTCTATTTTTATTGTTGTTTTTGAAATGTCAGCTATTTGAAGGTAATATATGTTTTAAATTTGATGTCTTTTTTCAGCTTTGAAAAGTTTTCAGCCACATGCTTCAGATGTTGCTTCCTTCCTGACTTTATTCCCTTCTTCTGGAATTCCAGTTAAATGTATTACAGACCCATTCACAATATCCTATATGTCTCATTGCTTTTTCCTATATTTTTATCCTTTTTTTCCCTGTAACCTATGTATTTATTTCTCACCTATCTTGCAGCATTTATTTTTCCTCATCTGTAGCTAAACTGCCACTGAAAGCCTCAGTTAAGCTTTTAATTTAGTTTGATGAATTTTTCAGTTTTACAATTTCTCAAATCTACCAGTTGCTATTTATAATTCCTAGCTTTCTTCTAACATTCTCAGTATTGTGTTTTAACTCCTAGAATACACTGTATAGTTGTTTTAACATTTGTGCTTGATAATACCAGTGTCATATACTCATTTGTATCTGTTTCTATTATCTTTTTCTTCTAATTTTTATTCATATCGATATATCTGATTTTTTTTTGATAATGCACTTAACATTATCTCTTAAATGTTTGTAGAATGAATTTGAAGTTTACAGAGAAGCTTTTCATTTGCTTCTGACAAGCACCATCGGGTATGAATAGTACAAACTGAGTATTATCACATTTTGATTTTAATACCACTTAACTATTTCACTTCCACTAGCCAAAGCACAGTGAATTTATTAACAAAGAATCTTGACAAAATATATCTCCTACTTTTCTATAGCCCTTTGTCTTGTGTTTTCTTTTCTGTTTTAAAAAACGAATAATGGACTCTCTAAAGTCATAAGAGTAGGTCCAAATTAACATTTTGATATGTAACTACTCATTGGTGACAGTAATTTAATCTGGCTCTGTACATACTCCAAAATCTCTTAGAGGTCAAGAAAATTTTTTGGAGAAGATCACTGGTCAGAATTCTCCCTGAGGCTGGATCAAAGTTGTTTCATGTCCTTAGTCTAGTTATTTCAATAGAAGAATTCTCTCAATCCTCCAACTCCAGAGCCAAGAAGAGATAGATGTACAGGATGAAAAGTACCAGACCATAGCTTTTATACTGAGGCTCAGTGATGCCCTCTGAGCTTGACTGAATAATTAACACTGCTCCTTTAGGAGACTAAAGAGCAAACAGAACAGAGCCGTGCTTCTGTTAACCCATGGTAATTCTCATAATCGTTTCTCATTATATTGCAATACAAAGCAAACTTCAGGATGCATTAAAAATATAGGGTTGTTTGAACTGCCTTTAAATGGCTTTGATATCAATGATTCTTCACTTAGTTCTAAATAACTTTTAGCAAGAACGCTTCAACTTGGTCTACTCACTAAACATACCCAATAATATTTTCCCTAAACTGTTGCTTCATTTGATAAATATACTTCTAGGTAGAAGGTTAAAAGAGAAGTAAAGAACTGTCTATAGAATGTTAAATAGTTTTTCTTTTTTGTCAGTTTTATTTAATTTTATGCAACTAGTAGTATTTCTTAAAATTTTTTTGAGTCATTTTTATGCCTTAGTAATGAAGGTTATTTTGTTACCACTGGAAACAAATAGAATCTAAATTCAAGTTTCCTTTTTCAATGATACGTACACTTCAGAGACTCTTTTCACCAGTATCCTTACCAATTTATTTCAGCATTGTGGAGACAGTGGACAACATTCCTTATGTTTGTTCTATACAATTACCTTATTGTATTTTATTTTAACAGGTTTCAAATCAGAAGAACAGTTACCAAACAAGACTCATCTCACAGTTGTGTATGGATTCATGTGTCAGTCATTTACGACCAACTTTGTAGTGTGCCTTCACACGGTATTTGTGAGAAGAAGCTGTCAACATAACGGTGGGGATGTCGCCGTGGAGGAGCAGAGAGCAATAAGTAAGATAGTAAGGAGGGTAGAAAACAACATGTTTATGACCAAAAGCATCATAAAAAAATCATCCAATTCCATCTCTTTTTTTCTCAAATAGCCGAGAGAATATGTCTGCCATATCTCTGACTAAGAGAATCTTGTATAATGCGAAATTGTAGGGAATCTGCTGTTATAAGAAAGCTTTCTCCTTTTTAAATACTATCAATCAAAAAAAGATCTGATAATGAATATAAAAAAGTAACCTGTCCTCTTGACAGAGGTATTAACATGTTGTAATGCAAAACATGTTTTATTACTTTTTATGATTACTGTTTTGCAGTTTTCAGCAATTCCTCAGGAATTAATTACTGTTAAAAGGTATTATTGGAACATAACTAAGTTCCCTCATACGAGGATTTGTCTCTTTCTTATTTTCTTTTAAACTTTCCCATTGGTGCTACTTATATTTCCAATGGGGATTTCCATATTACTGGAGGGGCATTTACAGCCTTCTTGTATTCATTAATATGTGAACAGAAATTGCATCACGTTCACTGCCTTTTTCCCTTTAAAATGGTTAACGTTATGCAAATTTCATTTTAATAAAAAATGCTAATGAAAGAACCTTTGGCCTTTAAATTATGTGCCATGTGTAATTAACACTATCTCTATTTGCCCTCTCCCCAAAAATGATGAATCTGACCCTGGGGAGGAGGTAGTATAATAGGTAGTTTTGGGCTGAAGAATAAATTTTGGATCTTAAATATTTAAAGAATCGAAGATAGAAATGTTTGGGGAGGTTGACTAGTGTCTTTTTTTTTTTTTTCTTTTTTTTGCGGTACGCGGGCCTTTCACTGCTGTGGCCTCTCCCGTTGCGGAGCACAGGCTCCGGACGCGCAGGCTCAGCGGCCACGGCTCAGGGGCCCAGCCGCTCCGCGGCACGTGGGATCCTCCCGGACCGGGGCTCGAACCCGCGTCCCCTGCATCGGCAGGCGGACTCTCAACCACCGCGCCACCAGGGAAGCCCCGACTAGTGTCTTTTAAGACGCTAACTTGTGTTGTCACTATCTGAAAAGAAATGTGGAAGGGCAAAGACAATTCAGGTTGAGAGTTAAATTAAGGCATAAAGCGGGATTTCGAAGCGATGCCATGCATTTTAATTTTGTTTTTGGTTTAATTGGGTCTCCTGTATCCTCCGAATGGAGTGGATGGTTTGAAGAAACCTTGATAATCAAGGAAATAATCCTGTATGCTGAATGTCCAGCTGCACTTATCTAGACCAAACAGGTGAGGCAACAATAACCTATAACTTAAAGATAAAAGCACGACTTTAACAAAAGTGGTGGTGTAAAGTCAGAATGCTCTAGGCTGTCCAAGGCATACCATACCTCACTTGTCAATACACGTGTATACCACAGCCAAAGTGGGAACGTGCATGGGAATGAAGAGAAAACATCCACACTTTTCCAAGAGACAGAAAAGGGGAAAATAGCTACTAGCTGACGTTTTGTCTAAAGGGCAAATTCGAGATGAGTAATGATCATGCCAGAGGAAACACCTATTCAAGCGCCACCATATCCTCTTGCCTGAGTTATTGCAATAATTTTCAAAGAAGTCTCCCAGCATCTACACTTGTCTTTCTGTAGTCCATTTTCAAACGTAGCAGACTGATTCCATTAAATTGAAAACAAACCATGCCAGCTCCCTACTAAAACTCTCCTTGACTTCCCACATATCTGAGTAAAAATAAATAAATAATTAGAAACAAAAACCAAAAGACCTTTACAACGGTCTACTCACCAAGACAATTGCTGGTCATTTACTCCTTCGAGCTAAGCTGCTTTTCTCCTCATGACTCATTCCATTTAGGATGATAGTTTCTGTACTGTTTCTCAGCCACAGCTGGCATGCTTGCATCTCAGGGCCTTGGAGCTTCCCCGTCCCTTTACCTGAACTATTCTTACCCTAGATACCTGCAGGACCTACTCTTTTACCTTTCAAGTCTTTGCCCAAGTATCACGTGTTAATGAGGCTGACTCTGACTACCTTATTTAAAATTACCGGCCCACGTTTCTGTACATTCTTAACCTCCCTCACCCTCTGTGTATTTCCATAACTCTTATCATAGTATCATATATTCTACTATTTACTTACTTATTATCTTTCTTGTATATTATCTGCCTTCTTCCATACAATGTAGGCACTAAAAGTACAGAGAGTTTTGTTTTCCACTGATGGATCTCAGAATCTGAGAATAGTACCTGCAATAAAGTAAGTATCCAAAAAATATTTTTGTCATGGTTGAAAAAAATATTTAAGGACAAGTATTAAAAATGTTAATGTGGGTTGGTAAAAATTATCAAGAATCTACTTGAATAAAGTTTGAGAGATAATTCTAAGTGCTATTTCATTAGAATCATAATTATCAGCACCTCCTAAATTATAACACCTCAGCTGTGACAATTTCTAATATCCTATCTTCTTACTTCATGTTCATATGTGCTTCTCTTACCTCTCTCCCTTGCAATTTTTTTTTTTTTTTTTTTTTTTGTTCCGGGGGCCTCTCACTTTTTTGGCCTCTCCCTTTGCGGAGCACGGGCTCCGGACGCGCAGGCTCAGCGGCCATGGCTCACGGGCCCAGCCGCTCCAGGGCATGTGGGATCTTCCCGGACCGGGGCACGAACCCACGTCCCCCGCATCGGCGGGCGGACTCTCAACCACTGCGCCACCAGGGAAGCCCCATCCCTTGCAATTTTTTACTGCCTTCTCTCCTGTAACATTTTCTAATACATCAATCCAATGCAAATGACCAAATAACTTTTGATATCCTACTTTTTATAGGGCATTATGCAGGAGGAAGGTCTCTTTAGATTTGTTTAATTTAAAATGATCTGATGAACAATGCACAGGTTGAGACACATAGTGAATTCACAGTATATGCTTCCTGAGCCATCCCTCCTAGGGTCTGGTTGCTCCAGCCCAAGCATCTTCCACATTTGTTTGTGTTTAGTATGTTTGATTTAACCAAGCTATCTCCCAAAATACAGAAAAGCATTGGTAGAATAATGTAATTCTACTGTATTTATTTGGGAAAAATTTTTGGATATTATCTAAAGCAATCTTCTGATTTCCCTCTCAGCTTAGGAAATTTAGGCAAAAAATTGTTCCCTGGTTTTCTAACGTCATAGGTAGTAATAATCCTAAAAGTCCTGACTCCCAGTAAAATATGTGATTGTTCATGATCATTGTGTACCAGATGTGTTGTACACAAAATGTTAAATTGAGTCCACATGCTGTACGAAGAAAGATCATTGAATTGACTACAAGAGAGCATTTTTAAAGCGAATTCTGTCCCTAACCAGCTATGTGCCTTTAGAGCAATCACTTCATCTAGCTGGACTTCAATCTCCCTTTTTGTAAAATGAAAGAGTAGTATCAATTAGATATACCCCAAAGGACTCTCTTAGGCTGACATTCCGTGTATATGATGCTTTACGCTATGCCCTTGGGGAAAGGAAAAGCCTTGTCCTATAGCCTTTTCTCTTTTCACAAACGCACAGAGAGGTTAAACTTACTCTGAGTGACACAGTGAGTGTATGATGGGTAAGAACCGGGTGAGGTCCCTCTGACTGGGATTATTGCTCGGCAGAGCCTGAAGGAATCTTTGGCAATTGTAAACTCTTGCCATCTTTTACACTGCAGTTACACAGGAAGTACTAACAAGTAAGCAAAAGAGAGCTGACAAGGGCAACCCCTTCCGTAATTGTTCAGAGACCGCCCAAATAGAAAACACATGCTACTTCCCCTCCCCCTGACCAATTTGGCAATCAGAGTCCAAGTTCACAGGAGAGGGGCAGGGCCTCTCCAGACAGGAACTGGGGTTGGAGGCTTCCTCTGCTACTTGCTCAGACAGAACAACCTTAGGAATGCCATTCAGTGCCTCGGTTTCTGAGCTGTCTCACTTGGGGAAATCCAACCATCATAGCTCACGGTCACCGCTGCAGGAATCCAGATGCAGGCCAAGTACAGCAGCACGAGGGACATGCTGGACGCTGATGGGGACACCACGATGAGCCTGCATTCTCGAGCCTCTACTGCAACCCAGCGGCCAGAGCCTGGCCACACAGGTACCCTGTCTCCCGTAGTCCAAATTGGCCAGACCCTTGAGAAATGCACAGGATGAGCCACCTCTCCTAGGAATGCACAAAGTGGAGGAAAGAGAGAAAATGTTTTCATGATTTACAATAACATGTAACGGAGCACTTTCTACAACTTGCCTGCCACGTATATGAATGTGTGAAAAATTAAACGTATATGCGTAGATGTTTTTCTAAGATTCTGTCTCTGGCAGAGTGGTTTGCAGTTGAGGGTGTGTTGCTTTTACCAAGCAGCTTCAGCACAGAGACGTGAGACTGTATCTACAATGAGAGCAATGTCCCTTCCCCTTCCTGCGTTCCCATGAAGGCCAGATCCAATGCTGTTTTATTTACCAGCTGTGATCTGATCCAGAAATTTAGATTTATAAAGGCTACCTTTTTGCAAGTTTTGAACTCATGGCTTTAGAGGGGGTTTTCCAAGCGGACACACCAACCCTGATATTTTGTTATAATAGTTCTGCATCTTGAAGTTGTGAGGTCTTGTGAGAGTCATGCCAACATTAAGTGTTTGCTTTATCATCTATGAAGTGACAGGGGATTAAATCAAATGCCTTCCAAGGTCATTCACCTTTGAAATCCTGACTTCTTGATGTAAATAGTGGCCCCAGATGCAATTACATCCCATCCCATTCCCTTTTGTTCTGTTGACTCCTAGAATATTATTGAGATGATTGGATTAAATTATGAAAGTATTTAATTTGAGTTACATCTTATGCTTCTATTTCAAATAATTCACCCTTTGACATAGCAATAATATGTAATAATTATTACTATGTAATAATATATATTATTGCTATGTCCATAGAAGAGACAATTCACACACATAAAGAAGGATTTTATTTCCTAGGAAACTCAGCCAGTCTAAGGCAGAAAGGCGAGTTAAGTTCTAGTAAAAAGACATCAAACTGTAGTAGAGACAGGACTAGGTTCTAATACCAGGGGTGTCACTTACTAACTGTGTGATATTGGACAAGTTACTTAAGTATCCTGTGGCTTCAGCTTCTTCATTTGTAAAATGTTAATGATGGTAACCATGTATACAGTGCCTATTACGTGTCTGATATTATTCTAAGCACTTATACATATTAACTCATATTAACTTGAACTAATGTAAAATAGAAGTAACAGAACCTCTCTTATCAGGTGGCTATAAGTACTAAGGTTGATAACTAGGTAAAAAAAGTCCTTGGTACGTTGCAGACACATCAAAAGTGTTGAGTTCCTTTTCAATATTTCATTCCTTGAGAATTCTTAAAGTGATCTGTTTAAAATTTTTGTGTGGATCTGCCTCAGAGAGAGATTCATGTAGTTGCCTGTATTTTCATATGTCCTAACTTTTTGACCATATCCAGATATTCTTCACCTTTTGAAATCTGGACACTCACTTTTTCACTGTTCTCTTCCTTTCCTCCTTTATCAAAAAATGTTTAGGTTTTCTTCCCTTTTCTTACTAAACTTTTCCATTCACTTTCTATTCGTTGAATGACCCTCGACCTGAGACCCACTAATGGGGCTGCTTTTTACATTTTTATTTACTTATTAATTTTTACTAAACTATCTAGTAAGTGGTGAGGCGGTCCTGGGGATTTCCAGCCTCCTTGATGGGAAGCAAAGTGATAACTTTGGGATGTCAGTTTCTGTAGCCACCATATATGTGTAATAGGACATGGTATGTTTTCCTCCAACAAATCCTGTGAAGAGTCAGCTGTGGTTTCAAGTGGCTTGTGTACAACTTCATTTTCACCTTTGACTAGAGCTGGGAGGTCTCACAAGGCTTAGCGATCCGCATGATCAGGAACAGGGTGTACAAATAAGTTCTGCTGAGGTTGAGGGTGGAGAGGGGCGTGGGGCAGGATAAAGCACCAGCTGAAACATCTGGCAACCTTTTTGTAAGAATGGAAATGCAAACAGCAGGAATAGGGGTTACAAAGAAGGATCTTAGAGGCAAACACCTGAAAATAGTTATCTTACCCTATGTGTCTAATATTTTGTTTCCATCTGGTGATAATGCAAGTATTTAGAGGAATGTCACTCTAGAAGTCTAATTATCTGTTAGAAAAACAGATCTGATATCATTTTGCTGTTAAAAATAACAGCAACATCTACTCTGGGAATTTTTTGGCAAAATGCAGAAGATTCAGATTCAACTTAATATTGGGGCACAGCTGTGACTAGAAAATTTTAGTGTTTTCTTTAGAATTAATAAAAATAAATGATTTTCCAGTTTTCAATTTTTCGACATAAAATTTATGTTTGTGTTAAAAAATGCCAAATAATTCAGAGGATAGAAAGTAAAAACGAAAGACAACACCCTCAGACCTCCTTTCCCTAAATTTATGCTTGGGGTCATGTTATGCCAGGCATGTTGCAAAGTACTGAGGATACAATGTCAAATATGACATGATCCCTGCATATGAGGAAACTTAAAGTCTAATACAACTGTCAACTGAGCAGCAAGTGTGATACAGTGCCGTGATGGGGCATGAGCTTGGTATAAGGGAGAGCTTGGTCACTTCTGTCTGGTGGGGGTAGAGATCAGGAAAGGTTTGAGAGAGGGAGTGACCATTGAGTGGACTTGACTTTAAGATGTTCCCCATGATATGGGAGAAGAAGTGGGATGTTTAAGTGGCTGCAGGCACTACAGGCAGGCAGACACAGGAGAGGAGAGCCATGGCAATCTTATGTAACTGTTTTTCAGAGAATGTTAACAAATATGTTAACGGTGAGGGGCAGAGTTGGAGGGGGAATGTTGACAAGAGGTAAGTCTGGAAAGTTACGGAAGACATTATGTCATACGCAGGTAGTTTGATTCTATTCAGTAGGTGAAATGAGTAAGATTTAAACAGGGAATAACATGATCAATTTTGTGTTTTTAGAAGAACATCTAGGCTGCATGAGGAGTATGAAACTGGATGAGCTAATACCCAGATTTTGCACTAGTCTAAGGATGAGAGGAGAAGAACCTGAACTGAAGTGGTGTGGAAGTGGGGAGGAAGATTCAGATATAAAAGATACTGAGCAGGGAGAGTTTAAAGAATTGGTGACCGGTTACAAGGGGGAAGGCAAGGAGAGGGAGAGCATAGGTGGAGTAGGTTCCATCTGACGACATGTAGATGGTGCTACCATGAAGTGAGCTAGAAACTACAAGAGGAATAGGAAAGATGATGGATTCAGTTTAAGTTTGAGATGCTTGTAAGAGAGGGCACATGCAATTGGAGTTGCCCTAAGGCACTTGTATATACAGCATGTGGGTCGGAGGTAAGGATTCTGAACTGCCTATACAGGTGAGAATTGTAGGCATTTAGGTAGGAATTAAACTTTCTGAGTGAGATCACTGAGGAATGTAAACTGAAAATGAAAATGAAACAAAACAAGACAAAACACCGGAGAAGAGTGCCAAAGAGAGAATCTTAGGGAATACAATTGAGGGGCAGGCTAAGAAAGAGACTCCAGTAGGAGCTGCTAAGGATGAGTGGTAAAGAGTGATGGTGTAGAACAGGAGAGAGGAAGCTAAGATGCAATAACTTCAAGAGAAATGGACAAGTCAATGGTAATGAACAGTGAATTTTTAAAATAATAAACAGTCGGGCTTCCCTGGTGGCGCAGTGGTTGAGAGTCCACCTGCCGATGCAGGGGACACAGGTTCGTGCCCGGTCCGGGAGGATCCCACATGCCGCGGAGCGGCTGAGCCCGTGAGCCATGGCCGCTGGGCCTGTGTGTCCGGAGCCTGTGCTCCGCAACGGGAGAGGCCACAACAGTGAGAGGCCCGCGTACCGCAAATAATAATAATAATAATAATAATAAAAATAGTAAACAGTCAATACGGCAGAGAGTACAAGTATGAAGAAGGCAAAAAACAGCTTACTGTTTTAGAAACAAGAAGGAAAATAGATTATTATATAGCACAGGGAACTCTACTCAATACTCTGCAATGGCCTATATGGGAAAAAGAATCTAAAATAAGAGTGGGTATATGTATATATAAAACTGATTCACTTTGCTGTATACCTGAAACTAACACAACATTGTAAATCAACTGGACTCCAAAAAATTTTTTTTAAAAAGTCATGGCATAAATCTCATCTACTTGATTCAACAAATCTTTAATTCATGCCTACTAAATATTAAGCATCACGGTAGCACTGGGGAGACTATTTTTAGGTGCTTGGAGAAGTGGAAGGAATAATCTGAATCACTAATTAGAAGAACGTCATGCACTGCTATTGAACATATGTAGGAGGCCACAGAAGCAAAGAAGAATGAATAAGTTACTGACCATGTTTAGTCATGTGGGTATTTTTGGACGAGGTGACATTTGACCTAGTCTGTAAGCCTGAGTCCAGGTTTTCCAGGTAGAGCAACTCAGGCACTGGGTGACCTTTCCAGAGTGAGGAACACACGTGCAAAGATAAGAGCACAGAGGTAAGTACCAGCTTGCTGCAGTGCACTCCTGGGTAAAAGAAGGAAGACGAGAGTACAGAGGGAAGAGATGAGGTATTGCTTCTGGATTGGAATTTAGATCAGGATAAGATCATTTTGGGAAACACCAGCAGAATCAGACAGGATGGCAAGGTAGACTGTCGGTCTGAGGAATGGGTAGTCCTCAAAGAAGGGGTGGATATGGGGATTTGGGGCAGCTGTGGCTAAAAAGTAGGATGAGAGTCTACCATGGAGGGTTTTACAGCACGCTGAGGGGTGCTCATGCTCCCTTCTCCTTAAGGGAGAGAGTAAATGTAGTAAACTCACCTTGGTGGTAGAGTGGAGAATGTATGATTTAAAATGACTGTTACGAACATATTCACAATACAGAAGTGAAAAGTTGCAAGTGGTAAAATGCTAGTGTTTCTGTAATTCCATACGGAACTGCCATATCCAGGCAAATATTAATGTGGGGTTTGTTGGGAGGGTTGGAAAATGATTTTAAACAAGCGCTCCGGGGACTTCCCTGGTGGCGCAGTGGTTAAGAATCT